TTTTGAAATTGTTGTTTCCAATTTGCAATTGTAATGTGACAGTAGTACTAGTAAATTGTAAAAGTTCGTCCGAAATCGACCTAAAACTTTGGTTAGGTTAAATTTGGTTTTAAATGGTTAGTTCAGTCGGTTCGGGTTTTCAAATACTTTGACTCGGTCTTTTTTCGGTTTTTGTTCCGGTCGGTTGAACCGGCCGAGGAAGACGAACTTGGTTTCACAATCAAAGCTTCAAAGAGGTAAAGTTCCTACTTCCTAATAAATGTCTACTAGTTCAACGCCACGGGTGTTTCATATAAAAAAAAAAAAAAAAAACTAATCTCCAACAAAAAGTGAAAAAAAAAAAATTGAAATAAGATTGATATATTCTTATTGTGAAATAAAAAACTATAAATAATTATTAAGAAAGTATTTTTTTCAAACATTATTTCGAATTCTAGAAAATATTTTTATGAAGTATTACTTGTTTTATTTAATATATATTTATTTTTTTCAAAATTAAATATAATAATTAATTTATTAGGCAGTTAATATAACACCCTGCCCGTGAACAACACAAGTGCTTGAAAATTAAATATTTTATCAAAATAAAGAAGTGAAGAAATTTATATTATTATAATGAAATGATAAAAATAATAAAAAATACAACTAATAATTAAAAATAGTAAAATTTATTATTTGAAGTAATAACCATGTTTTATACCCGATTTATCAAAATGATAATTATTTTAACCACACACACACACACACACACATATATATATTATTTACAAGTCAATAATTTAATTTGAATTAATTTAATTTTTTAAGTTTGATTATATTGTAATTATATTTTGCATTTATACAGTTTTCTTCCCTCGTCTAGTATTTTTAAAAAATCTTTAGCTTTATAATATTCAAATAATTTAAAATATAATGTGTATGAGATTAATCTTTATGAAATATAATAATTGTTTTTATTATTATAATTATAATATTTATCTAATTTTTTTTTTTTCAAGATCATTATAATGTTCACTCTATATGTAGTCTTTATTTAAGTTGAAACATAAATCTTAGAATATTTTTTTATATTAATTTAATGTTCATAGTTCGTTTACATATTTTTTTTCGAATTAAATAACTATTTATGGTATGTTAATACACATAAATTTCTATTTATTTATAAGATAATCTAGTTTATTTGATATTTTTTAATTTAGTTTGATAAGTAAATTTAAATTTTCTTTATAAGGATATATATCAATGTTTTGTATTTTATATGGATGTCACTTCGAAGATCGTTATATATCCTATATGAAAAATAAAATACAAAAAAAGTTATAAAATTTAAAAATAAGAAGAACAAATAGTTATTATAATTGATGTATCAATTGAATAAGAAAAGGAATTGTAATATATGGTAATGTAGGAAAAGAAAACATAAAATAGTTTATGGTAACTAATTGTAGAAGAAAATAAGGAAAAAATTAATCATGGATTTAATATGAATAATATAAACATTAAATGAAATCTAAGACTAATTATTTTTGTATGAAATAATTTATATCCAAGCCTGACTGCGGAGCATGATTTTTTGCCACGTAGGATTCCGACACGTGAGTGCATGTCACTTAGGCTCAACGCATTCGGTAATTATATATAAGGGTGATGACCCTAATTGCCCAAATGGTGATCTTGCTACAATGTTTTACTATATAGCTTGAGAGGCTCTCATTGATTGTTGCTCGTCCACGGGTCGAGGATCTGAATGATATCGTGAGATGGTTAATTGTTGTGCTGATATTGTGAATCATGAGAAAAATATTTCAAGTTTAATGTAATTGGTTAAATCGAAAGGTTTTGAACTGAATGATGTTGATTGTGCTTTCCAAGGATTAAATTTGAGAGGATTACATTCAAACCCCAAATTTTTTATAATGATGTATAAAATTTTCAGATACCCATTTTCATATATTTCTACATGACTAGTGTTCTTATTCACCGCAAGTTTGGGCCAATTTTCTGAATGTCTCCTTAGGTCTATAGGGCCGACACCGGTTCCCTGCAATGGGATTTCTGAGGCTCACGAGGAGATTCCATGGCCTCTACCACGTAGGATCAAGAACCAACTTGACACTTATCTGCAACTCCCACATTCAGAGGAGAGTGTTATCTAGCCATCCTGACGGAATCAATGGTGCAGATTCACTTTTACCTGTTCTGATCGTTGGTGCAGGCCCCGTTGGTCTTGCTCTCTCAATTCTACTGACGAAACTAGGTATATTCTGAGGCCCCTGTCTCTTTTTTTTTTTTTTTTTTTTTTTTTTTTTTTTTTTTTTTTTTTTTTTTTTTTTTAATTTTTTTTTTTTTTATATATTTATTTTTTTTTTTACTTGAGTGAGTCTTTGTTTGAAGTGAGTTCCTTTGTTGATTGAATTTGTTAAATCTCAGATTTCATTTAAAGAAAGCTTACTTGGGGGGTTAGTGTAAAGCATATGGGGTTCATTAAGTGAGCACAGGTGTAAAGGTGGAACTTAATGTTATTGGATCATGTTGTTGTGGTCCTTGTGGATGATAATTTCAGATTATTCATTATATTCTACCAGTAACATAAAATTGTTTGAATTAAGTAGATTATATAGGATTCTTTTTCCAAGTTTCGTTTGGTCTTATCATCTTGTGTATCTTTCCATGTCATATTTCTGCTTCAGCTTCTTATTTCATGGATATTTATGGATTAGAAATGGCAATGGAAAAGTGTGTCTCGTCTTTATATCCAGAAACTGGAAGAAACTAAGGTGTTAATTTTTTCAAATTTCAGCTTATTCTTTCAGTTGTTTTTTTAATCAGATGATCCAGTTCGGTTCTTATAAACAGATGAGAACTTTCGCAACTTGTTGATGCAACCATGTATCTTCAATAGATTTTGGGCTTCTATTTTATAAAATTATTAATTTGGCCACTTCCAATCAATTCATGACTTCCAACGGGTATCACTTTTGAAACCTAAAGAGGCGTTTACAAATACTGTCATAGTCTGGAAGTTTCGCGGAAAATTTTTCTGTAAATTGGTGATAACATTATGGTCATCACCAGGGGTGAAATGCGCAATTCTGGAGAAAAACATTGCATTCCCAAGTCACCCTCAAGCTCATTTCATCAACAATCGATCAATGGAGGTTTTTGCATGTTCCTTTTGTTTAATTGGACGATAACGAGGCTTGATCTTTAAAATTTCAAGCTTTTATTTTGACTAGTTATTCCTGGCAGATATTCCGGAAATTAAATGGCCTGTCTGATGATATTCTGAGGTGTCAACAACCAGTGGATTTATGGAGGAAGTTCATATATTGTACTACACTCACGGGGTCGATTCTCGGATCAGTTGACCATATACAACCTCAAGGTGCCTTGTTATGTTACTCTGAAAACACTGTGTTTAATTAATTGTTAATTGAGATGCAACTTGGCTGGAGATATTGTAGATAATTTTAAAAATATAATGTGACGTTATGATTTAATCAGATAATATAATCCAGTATATTGATTTCCAAAATTGTCCTGTCCATGCTTTTTCCTTCTTTGATTTGAGACAACATATGGATTTTATTTTGTATTCATGTTTCTTTAATTTGTTATGGTTCTTTTCCGTTGTTGATAATTTGGATAAGGTAGCAGTTAAAAACAGAATTCTGATTCAAATTTGATATATGCAGATTTCGAATGTATTGCGAGCCCAATCTCTGTTGCAAATTTTCCACAATATAAACTTATGAGGTTGCTAGTCAAACAGCTCGAGGAGGTTGGGTTTCATATAAGAAGTGATGGGTTGACAAGCTCTGATGGCTGTGACCAAGAGATATTAATGGGACACGAATGCACAGCTATAAATGTCACCAAAGACAATGTAAATTTGTCTGCATGTATAAAAAAAGAAGGAAAACATGTAACTAAAGATTTCCAGTGTAGATTTGTTGTTGCCACCGATGGTGCTGGAAGTACAGTGAGAAAGTTAATGGAAATCGGCATGACTGGCGAGCATGATTTGCAAAAGCTCATTAATGTACATTTTAGAAGCCACAACCTAGGTCGGTATTTGATGGATGAGAGACCTGGGATGTTGTATTTTGTCTTCAACACTGAAGCAATAGGTGTCCTTGTTGCTCATGATCTGAAGGAAGGGGAGTTTGTGTTGCAGGTGAAGAAGTTTATAGGTTTTATTGTTTTAGGTGTATGAATATCTCGTGCTGTTATCTCTGTTAAAGCAGTAAATTCTAATGCGTCCATATTATGCAGGTGCCGATTTATCCACCTCAACATAAGATTGAAGATTTTAGCCCCAGAGTAATTCCCTGACTTCTAAGTCCAGTCTCTTGGCTAGATTTATTTCCCGTGTACCATAGCTGGTATATTGTTACAGTATTTTTAGGCACACTTAAAAAAAGAGATAGGAAAAAGAATAAGAAAGAAACAATACCAGTTATGGATGATGCTCCCCTACCCAGGCACATATTTATTTGCCT